ACACAATGGCACATGCAAGGGTCCGGTCGCCCGTATAAACCGTGTCTATATTGCGTTGATCTCCCGCACATTTGCACTTTTGGACATCTGTATCTTTCATGAGGTGCACATCTCGCCTGACCATCTATTCACTCTATTTTTATACCAAACTGCTATTAGAAATAGGAAGTTGTTTTATTGTACTTTCTTACAAACACGCATCCGGAGCTCCGACGCTACTTGGCTTGAACTATTTTTTCACTTTGTCGATGTATCGATGACTATTTCTTTTTTCTCAGCATTTTTCACTCAATATATGCCCATGCTGTTTTACGTTTACGTTCGTGCTTTTACGATAACTTTTTTTAAGTAAACCACGCATTGAAGTAGCAAAATATTTTACTTCTTTATATTGGCAAATGAACATGACATATACATAGCATTTCCCTATAATACATCAAAATCTGCAACCTTTTCAAATCTATCTAAATTAAAAAAATTCAGTCTAAAATAAGTCTTATATTTTACTCAATCCTGCATTCTAAAATATTAAATAGTTTTTTTCTTCATTTTCGATACTTACCATTTTGAACACAGTAGATTAAACGATCAGAGATATAAATGATAATTACGGTATATACTGGGCATATTTAGATTCTCTACATATATCGCTTTACCATAGAATTTTTAGTATTAATTCTTTCCGATAAATTAAAGAATTTATTTAAATTTTAAAGAAAAATATTATATTTAAAATTATAGTTTTATAGAATTATATAACTATCTATAAATATATATATTTTAATAATACTTTTAAATAATTTTCGGTTAAAAAACTTTAGATAAAGTGATATATCAATAAAGCAGTGATTAAAAAATACTTCTGTAATACCTGATGGCTTATTGACGGTATACGTGATAACAAGGAAGCTTCACTCTTTCATTCCTTAAGTGGCTTTGTATTCGCTTACCAATATATTATCACTTGGCTTGGAGATATTTTATATAAAATTTCCTTTAAAGCAATCCTTTTACTTCAGCCGACTTTTTCTCACGCAGTGTGGCATGGTTGTAGAACCTCCGTGTAAAGGGTATCATTTCATTACACAAATCCTCATACTCCTCTTGCTGCTGCCATGTCTTTGCCTTTCCGACGGTATGTATGCTCTTTCGTTTTCTCTCGTTTCTTTTGATTCTGATTCTTTCATATGGGTTAGCTTTCTCTCATTCTACTTAGCCCAGTGTCGCACACTTTTTGTGCTTATTACGTTGTTTTCATCCCTCAGTTACTCTCCCCGATTTAACTATTGTTCATTTTTTATTATTATTTGTCCTAGTCTTCGGTATTTGCTTCTTGCATTTGCTGTTCACCGTAACCCCTTTACCATCGGCGATAAACGAGTTTGTTGCACTTGAGTTCGTCAAGACGTAGTCTTTCATAAAAACGCTCGATGTATTATCGACTTTTGTCGCGGTAATTGTAAACGGGTTTAATCGTGTGTAAAGTAAGGGAGATTCAGACGACGAACAGGGTAGTAATGAAGTAGACAAGAGTGCAAGAAAGAAAGGAATAGGGATGGAGGAATCGAGTTTTCAATTTTAATATCAGTGCAGCATAACGAAAAATATACAAGGTGCTTTGTAATGTTACCATTGTGAATTTATGTAAATTTGCATGGCGAATGATCACGAGAGAGCGGGAGGTTTAAATGGTTCACTTTTGCCATCCTCAAGTCAGATTACTTATAGAAAAATTTCTTGTTAATGGTCTACATGCATTTATCTATGTTTTTGGCTTACAGCTCGTTTGACCATAACGGTAAAAAAATATTAAATTTAAATTAGGGTCAGCGTGATTTTGTTTGATTACCGAATTTAGAATTTCATAATATCAATTTTAATACAGGTTGATGTAAGTGAAATGAAAGTTATTTTTTTTTTAGTATTGTTGATATTTGTTTGTTGATACTTTGTGACGATTGTTTTGCAGATCAAACGATTGTAATTATAAAAGCGACAAGAGATTCAAAGCATAGAAAAGGAGTCAATATTACATCGTTCTATTTATCAAGACGAATGTTTTATACGTATTACTTAAGAGTTATCTATAGTTTTTAAAATTTATTCTTATATTTGTAGATGGGACTTAGGCGGCAGAAAGCACGTAATAAACTTCGATCGTAGGATAATATGTCGGTAAAAGACACGCCGTAGTGGCAGCTGAGAAAAGGAAAAGAAGATAGTAGGTGTTTTCGGTCGGCAAAGTTCGGTGAAGCTCGTTATTTTTCGTGGGGTTCGTGGGGGCTGTTGAGAGCTTATGGTGGTTTTAAGCAGACGAGAGAGACAGAGAGAGGCTTTGGGGGACAGCTGCAGACTACGGCCCCATCAGGACGTCAAGCGGGTGTCGTGTGGAGGGGGGAAGCGCTTTGGGGGAGTCTAGAGCAACAGCAGAGTACACGGACAATGTTGACGGGGCAGGGCGCACATGCTGCTGGCGCATATGCCGCATATGCCCAGATGGCATACCCTCGCCCTTATCATTTTCAACACCACCCTCACCGTCATCCCTGTTTGGCTACTCCCACTCCCAGTGCTCTTTCTAGCCCGTCTTTTCATCGTTCTCTTCAATTGTAGCTTTGTTCCGCTTTGCACAGCGCCAAGTCGCCCTTTGTTCATCTCAACTCTCTGTGACGCTTTCCCGCCAAATTTTCCGACAAAGATGCCACATTTCTTCGTTACCCTATAAGTAAGCTTTTCTGGGGTTTTCAGAGTTCGTTGCGTACTTTTCGCTCTAAACATTTCATGCTGCATCAAACTGAATCATTAAAACTTATTATTGCTTTTTGTTCGTAAGATTTGAAACTTATTTGATCGTCGCGCTAGATCCTCCATTCCCCACTCCTCTCTCTCTCTCTCTCTCTCTCTCTCTATAGCGTACTTAAAAGGGCGGATTTGTTGCAGAGGAAAAGGAAGTCGGCTGTCGTGACTATGCACGTATGCATTGCCCGGTTTTTCGTCTCGCTCAACGGTCCGCTTAATCGGCAACGGTTACCATTATCTCGAACTCTTGAGTAAGCGCAGTCAAGCATTACGTCATCTTTGCACTCGCCCACGCTCTTTACGAGTCGTCGCTCTTATTTCGCGGAAGGTATCCAGAGCCGATACTGCATGTGAAGGAATTTGCATACTATTGCGGATTTTTGAGGCAATGCTAAATTAACGTCAGTAAAGCGATAATTTAAGGCTTACATTTATTCATATGTTTCACCGTCTCATCTTCATCCTGCAAAGCTTTATAATCAAAGTTTTCTTCTGACAATCTGTATACTTATCTCTAGTACATAAAAATAAAATTCTATCAGAGTTTGAAATATTAGCGTTTATTCGTGTTGTAAATGCTGTTTGATATACAAGCCATTTCAAGATATAGTTTTGACATGTGAGACGAAGAATCATAGTAAAGCTTGTCGAGTTAATTTTTCCTTAAGCTTGGAGCATACTTGTAATTCGAATACAAAATTCAATTATGATTGTAATTAAAAGTTCCTTTATATTCAAAAATATAATTAGTAAATTATTATTAAAATTTTTTTTTAATATACACGTAAACACGTTTAATTTAATTTGTGCATTTATTCATGATGGGTTAAAAGCATTAAGATATACACAGTATTGATAGGGCATTAAAATAGTGTTCGATATTTTTTTATCAAGTTTAATGCAAGTTAATGTTAATTTAGTAGTAAATTAATATATTATTTAAAATGTATGTCTTTATATATGAAACAAACTATATATATATATATATATATATATGATAATGAAACAATATATAATGTAATAATGTATATAAGTAATTAATCTAAATTATTGTATTTCAATAAATGCATTCAAAGTAAAATTTTTCACAAAAAGAAAATAATTTTTTTATAATTCTACATATCTAGATAACATGTAAGTGTGTTAAAAGTATTATATTTTCATGTTAATCATATTAGATGTTAGATATCAGATACTCTAGTTAAAATAATTTATAAAAATATGTATTATCATATGTTGCACGCTGGCAATTTAAATAAAAATAATCAGTTACATGAAAATACTTTTTTTTACATTAGGCTAAGATAACCTATGACGTTTATATTGCAAAGTCTGACCACTCAATATGTTAAAAAAAGCGTATGCAAAAATCGGTAGAATAATAGCGTAATAGGTGGTGTATAATGGAAGTGGAAAAAGAGCATCGTGAGCATTAGTTAATGCTTTTTGGCAGTGCCGGAAATTAATTAGGGCCCTGTAAGTAACTATCTGATGCTTCTAGTGCCGGATGTGCTTTCCTTGTCTCCAAGCGATACCTTAAATGCGAATGACTTTGTCGAGGACGCGCCCTTTGTACTCAACTTGATTTGGGTCGTCAATTTAAGGGACCGGAAGAGCACGTGACTGACTGGTTATGATATCCTGGGACTACTCTCGAACGGTGCTTCAGAAATATTGAAATCGGGCGCGAAATTAACGTTTCGTTAGCCGCAAGTGTGCCGGGTATATAACGCGCTGTTGCTTTTGTTCCTCCTTCGTCCGGTCTCTATTGGGTTTATGAAAACTTCAGGAAGTCCGATTTCTCACTTGCGGGTTTCTCGCTTCGCTGCTTTTGTACATATATCAATTGATCTACGCTTCCTCAGGATAAAAATGGGTGAATGGATGCAAAAGGGCAAGCTTTACCACTTCCTACATTATTCCGAATTACGTTTGTTTCTCTTAATCTTGATTGCATTCCTATTTATTAATTTAAAATAGACAGTATAATTTATGTTCCATGTAATAAATAAGTAATTTGAATAACTCAAAGTTCAATTTCACTAATAGTTATTAGTATAAATTATTGGTGTAAATTTCAAGCTCTCATATATACTGTAACAGTATTTATAAAAATTATATATAAGTTATTAATTGTTCAGTAATTAATAAGAAAATATTCAATGTATGTTGATATTGGTGGTGATCATTAATGATTTTAGATCGAGATCAGGTTATGACTCAAGTAGCGGTGATGAGTCCGAAATCGAATATAATTCGTCCATCTGTAATCAAACAGCTTCACAAAATAACTCTAATACGACTGCGAATAATTCAGGCCAAGGGAAACACATTAATAAAGGTCGATGGACTAAAGAAGAAGTAAGTAATTTATTCGATTTTTTTAATTTTACACAGATTTTACATCATTATTTTTCCTGAAACGACACATCGCTCTTAGTAAGAAACAAATTCGTATCGATATTTCATATTACATTTCGATAAAAAATTAATAAGTACAAATGTTTTAAATTGATTAATTTGTTATTACTATTTAATAATAAACTTCGATTTTTTTAAACAAAGAAATTATATATAATTTAGATAAAATAAAAATATATTGTACTTATTATTTATTGCGTTTTTCATTTATTTTTTTTTTAAAATTAAAATTCAAAATTATTTTATTACTGTAATTTAATTAATTTTCGTACAGTAATTATAATAATAAATTTTTTTAATCTAATCTCATTATCTTTATTATAAATCTATTATTGCAATAAGAATATGAAATATTACTTAGTTTCAGTCCTAAATATGTGGATATTTACACAATTCTTGAATAATTTATTTTGATTGTATCTTGTTATAATTTTCATAATTAAATTATTCTAGAAGGTAAGTTCAACCTCGCATAATAAATATAAATGTATCTATTGCAAACCAAATATTTGCTGCTAGAATTCGTATTAAATCAATTAATAAGAAAAAGATTTGGAAAAGTATACAACAATCAAATTATAGAGATTGCAGAGTATGAACGTATATACCTACATTACTAGCAATGAAATAGAAATGAAGAGAGGGAGAGAGAGAGAGAGAGAGAGAGAGAGAGAGAGAGAGAGAGAGAGATGCATAAAATAACGCACAAGCAGGTATATACGACTAGTATACGGTTTCCCATGGGAAATGTGCGCTAAGGACGATCACACGTTGTCTTGAGCCCTCTCTTCTCTTCCTTCATACTCTTGTTCTCACTTTTTCTCCCTTTCAATGTCTCTCGGACTTTATTCTGGACGTCCATGATGAGCATAATGCGCCCTATAAATTTCCCTTTGTCCTTGCATCTAGATCGTGCTTATTTATTCTTCATGCAGAGTTCCGGTCATCTCTGATCTAACCTTTCTTTTATGGTGATTCATCCCTTTTTTAGATTATCTGAGTGTGCTCGGAAGTAATTTTTATAAAAGTTTAATTTGTTTGGAAGTACAGTGTATTGAGTTAGCATTAAGGGGAAGACAAATTAATTTTATTTGATTAACGTGTTGTATTACTTGCTCAATGGAAATCTTATTTTATTAAAGTAATTTAATATACATTATTTGTATAATAAGCAAGTACAATAGATTTAATAATTGTCAGTTTTTATTAAACCTATGTCTTTACTAGATTGTGTGAAATACGTATAAAAGTCTCAAAAAGGAAATTTGACTGACAGTTTAATTTCAATTTTTTATTTTCACTTATCACTATCATCATCAATTATAATTATAAAAGTTCAATTAAAATGGACAAGTATTTCAGTACAAAAAAAACTTTAAAGTAGTTTAGAATTATGTGCTATTAATTAGTTTGTTTAATTAATTCAGATAATCCTGATTTTGTTATCGCCATTAACATTTGAGTCATTTTATCTGTATCGTAGGACGCCCTTTTAAAACAGCTGGTGAGTGGTGCTGAACACTTGGGCAATGGTTTGCGTTGGGACAGTATTGCAGCGCACTTTCGTGACCGAAGTGATGTTCAGTGCCAACAGAGATGGGCAAAGGTCGTCAACCCCGAGCTTGTTAAGGGACCCTGGACGAAAGAGGTAAGCGATACTTTATCTATAGGATATTTCGATCATAATTCAGATGTCCCATTTCTCTCTGTCTTTATTTATATGTACGAATCAAAATATCTTGATAATTTAATTATATGAAAATGAAAATCAGCCTAAGATAAATGTAAACAACAATAATGTCACATGTGACGAGCTGTCGCAAATCTTTATTTTCAAAGATCAACCCAAGTGGTATCAATTATTTTTACTTTGATTTATTTACAATTTAGCTGTATGCATAAATTCTAATAAGACATTTCTTAGCATGTAGTCTATTAATTTCGTATTAATGCATAAATTTTAATGAAAATAAAACAATATGAATTTAGCTTAATTACATTATGGTTAACTTGAAAAATTATATTCATGATATACTTTTGTATATCATGTACTTTGAATATATCACTACTTGTACACTAATAAAAAAAATGATATGATTTTCACTCACAAAATTTTTCTTTAATTTATTACGTTTAAATTTATTTTAATGCGTCCTTTATAAGCATTAAAGATTATTATAACTATATCTACAATATATTTGCCCTTTGCTATAATAGGTATTTGTTTCAATTGTAGATAGTTGTTGCAATTTATTTCGTGCGCATGTCTATAAATTTCTGCTTTAACGGTATAAGTCTATATTTGTGGAAAGAATGCACGTTCATTGGACTCCTTGCACATTATTTTGGTGGAATTGGAAAGACTAATTTTGATCATAAATGATACGTTCACACATCTCAATCGCAATTAGGCTATTAAAGTAGTATGGCTTCTTCTTGCAACAAGAGGTTTTTGTAATTTTCGGTAATTCAGTATATAATTGACTTAAAATTATAAACAATTTGTAATTAATTTAATGAATAAGATGAAATGTTAAATGCTTGAAATTTGTTCAATATTTAATTTTCTAAAAATAGAAGCCGTAATTAAGAGATAATTATTTGTATGGAAATGGAAATTATACAAGATTTCAAAATCGTTGACTAGCAATAGTGATTCTCCTTTTTATAAATTAATAATAATGTTGAATATAGATCGGTTATTCTTTTTAATACTGTACTTGTTGCGAATTGTGAAAGCCAGTTGCGAACAATTAACAAGGGCGTAGTAAGTAAACATAATTTTAATTTTACTTCCTTGGTTATGTAGAAACAAAAATACCAGAAATTTTTTCGTAATAATTTTCCGATTTATAGGAGATAGAAGGCGCTGGTTGGAATTATATTTCATTTTGTGTTTCGAAAGAATTTTGATATGAAATAGAAAATGCAATAATAAAATAATCTATAGAAAGTGAATGTTCTTTTTCTTATTATTATGAGACAATGGGGTACGTATGTATGTTAAATTTTCGTTGTATGGATCTTTATGGAAATACTAGAATAAAAAATATACTAGAATATGTATGTAAGGTATCGCACTGGTGTCCCCATTTGTACTTTCATTACAACATAGATTTTTATTTGAATTTTACGATACATTTAATTTTCATAAGTTTTATATTAATTCTACGATTAGAAATTAGAAAATGAATAATCAATTATGATCGATTCGATAGGAGAATCCTAAGGCGAATTTACGATAATGTTTCGGTAACATCGGAGTAACCTAGTTGATAATTTTGTGATTTGGTGGCTCGGTGATTGGTTCATTTCTTTTAGCTAAGAACGAACTAGTTAAGCTACGGGGTTAATTTTTGACATACGAGTGTAGAATTTCTTTACTTAGAGACACGTCTGCTTTTTACTTACAAGGTGCTTTAAAACCAACCTGTTTTTTTAATTCTTATAGCTATTTGGGTGCCCTAGTTGGATATTGATCTGTTGTGTAAATTTGATGAAATTAGATTCACACTTTTCGAGTTATTCGATCAATGATTGAATTTTTAAAATTTAGTTCATGCTAATTTTTAACGTTTCTAATAAGCTATACATTTGAGATTAACGAAAGACATTGTTTTTAATGTAATGTTGATACTATTATTGGTATGATGATGTAATATTTTTTCATAATTTGAAAAGAATTTGTTAAGTCACATATTTCAAAATGAACCTTTCTTAAACAAGTATAGACAAATACGGTGAAGAATAACACGTAGTATGTCATGAAGGATTGTTAAAAACAAGTAATAAATAAACTAAATAATATATTTTGAAGGAGGACGAAAAAGTGGTAGAACTTGTGCAGCGATACGGACCGAAAAAATGGACATTAATTGCGCGGCATCTGAAAGGTCGAATAGGTAAACAGTGTCGCGAGCGTTGGCACAATCATCTTAATCCAGGCATCAAAAAAACTGCTTGGACGGAGGCTGAAGATATGATAATTGTGGAGGCACATAGAAGAGTAGGTAATCAGTGGGCAAAAATAGCGAAACTTCTGCCCGGAAGGACGGACAATGCTATTAAAAACCACTGGAATAGTACCATGAGGAGGAAGTACGAGGCCGAAGAGGGGAGAACCATAACATCACGAGGTAAATATATTTTATTTTTCATCGTCAATTATAATTAATTTGTCAAGTGATTTACTAAACGGTAGATAGAGAAAAGTATTTAACTTATAAATTTATAACACTATCGAAAATTTGTCTTTACTAATTTAATTATGTGTTATAGCATTAAATGAGCAAAAATTGTTACTTCGCGTTAGCTATCAACGGATAAAAGTTTTTTTTACATATTCCCATACAGGTAAATAAATATGTTTATATAATGTGAGTAATCAATTTGTTAATATTACAGGTCGAGGGAGAAGAAAAATTATAGAGTCTGTGTCGTTGACTACAAAGAGGGATGTTTTAAGTGACGATCGGTCGAGAAAGCAGCAACAACAACGACAACAGCGCCAACAGACGCCAGTAAACTCTGCTTTAAATGGAGAGGGTAGCTCAACAGTTACGAGTACGGTGATCGGTGCGAGTCAGAGTTGTGATCTCGACCAATTAGATTGGACACAAGCCTGGGAACAACAGCAGCAAGAGCGTCAGATGGCTGAGCGATGCAATGATCAGCAACAACAACAGCATTTTCATGAGTCCATGCAGATAGATGACCGCCAGTCTGTTGAAAACCATTTAGAATCATCGCCAAGGAACCGCATCGAATCCGTTTCTCCCTTTTCCAAGTGTGTTTTCTTCTACTATATATTATATTTCCTTTCTTTTTTTCTGTTGTTATCTTCAATGATAATAAAATATTTCATCAAATAAAATAGCATAAATCATAAGCTTTTGTTTTAAATAAATAGATACTTTGGATTAGAGATGTCGAATGAACAGCCACATGTGTCGAGGTCGACGGAAATCCACTTGCTCCCTATGCCTGATCTTGAAGAAGATTCAGATCTTCATGAAAGAGAGAAGACCAGTCCACCGCCAATTTTGCGTAGACGGCGAAATATGCAATTAGATCAACAGCAGCAACAACAACAGCAACAGCAACAGCAACAGCAACATCATCAGCGACAACAGCAACAACAGCAGCAGCAATCACAACAGCAGCGTACCGATACCCCCGACAGCGGCAATCAATCGGACTACCTGTTACAATCTTATCATCAGCAGTCCTCATCTTCGCAAATTGGCACAGCACCTTCGACTCCGATAAAGCAGTTACCCTTCAGCCCCTCGCAATTTCTTAATAGTCTGAGCCCCGAACCATCTTGGCCGAGGGCGAGCACACCGAAAGGTAGTCCCGGTTCACTTACTACGCCTCAACCCTCAGCTCTTCGACGAAGCACCACAGGTAATATAGTCATTCGTTAATCCTGTATTTTGATTCGTTTCATCGTCAGTAGTAATATATTTCACTTCATGCTGTTACGACTTCTTGTAGTTTAATAAATTTTATTGTACATTACAGAATACAGAATATTTATAAAAATGTTAGCGCATTCAGAATTAAATTGTACCTTTAATTAAAATTTGACATTTTATAAATATTTAAATAATATATATACGTTTATTAATCAATTATTTTCTTCGACGATAATGAATCCCTAATAATTTTTTGTTTTCTTTTATCAAAATTACTATGTCGTTTAATTTTTAAAACGCATTTTTGTGGGAGTTGCATCACTTTCTTCTGTTATTAATTTAACAATTAAAATTAAAATTAATAATTAAAAATATTTGGTATAAATGTATTTTTGTATATAAAAAAATTAATAAAATAACGTAAGTTCCAACGGATTTTCGTTAATGTTTACGCAATAGAAGATTCATTTGAATTTAAACATTTATAAAAGGTTGAATAATAATAATTGAAAGGAAGATAGGTTTGAGGCTCCTGCTGCTGCTATCGATCTGCATCTAATATAGATACTTCAAATGTGTATAAATCAGTTTAATTAATAGATGAGGAAAATGTTTTAGACGGTACGACGCCTCGGACGCCTACACCGTTTAAAAATGCGCTTGCCGAGTTGGAGCGGCGTAGTGGGGCAACGACACAATTGCCAGCGACGCCAAGTCGATTGGATGCCCTTACGGAGATCATCAAACAGGAAACAGATCGTGAGAGTCTAGCAGGTACCAGTAATGGCAGCTTATTACAGGACTCAGGTTATGGAACGGGTCGTCGCAGAGGCAAGGAAAATAGTGCGCCAGGAGGTAAAAGGGCGCGGAAAGCCCTCTGCCAAGCTTGGTCTAGTACTCATGAAAGCTCCGAGATGAGCTTTGCTGTCGAAACACCGGTTTGTATTCGTTAGACTATTCGAAGCTTGCCTAAGAAAACTTGTTACTTCATACACATTTCATTATGAAATGAAGAGTGCTCGTATACGATTATGTTCGATAGTCCGGATAATGGATTATATAGATTCTATTAGTCTCATTTAAACAAAAGATTTTATTTGGTGAATTTATATATTTATACTTTAATAATTTATACTAATTAATTAACTTATCTTGTCTATTTTAATTATTATTAAGATTAATATTATTATTGTACTTACCTTTTACATTGTGTCACAAATTTTCATAAATTGTTGGAATTTTGAGCTTTTACCATTTAAAATTTTCTTATAATATATTACAGCCCTTAATGTATGTACCATTAATATATGGTACTTAATGTTCATTAAAACAAATAATTAAAGTAAATAATTGTAAAATTAAAAGATCGATAAAATTAGATAGTATAATACTAAAGTGTATGTAATGAATATAAAATCAATTTACAATGGTTTATTAATTCTACAGTGAATAATCATATAGAGAGCTTTTTCATTTCTACTGTTTCAAATTTGTTGACAAAGATAAAGATTATTTTTCGAAACCAATTATGACTTTAATTTTTAATAAGTTTCTATTTAAGCTCGAAAAGTTTTTATAGACTTCATTATTAAATACATATATATAATTTTCAAATATTTTACCTTACAGAGCAAAAGTTTGGATACATCTGTCTTGTTTTCACCGGCATCGATGGCCTTGGATGACAGTTTCTTGGCGACTGGGCCAAGTCCCGTAAAGGTAGAAACGCGTGTTCGAAGTCAATGTGATTCTCATAATCAAGAACAACCAGCCCTATCCTGGTACTATTCCCGCACCAATCGCCTCTAGACACGCTAGCCGGCCTTTTCTTTTCCTCTCACGCTCTTCTTTATCGTCTTCATTGTGCCGTCTTTTACATCTTGCTCTCTATTATTACTTCTATCAATGTTTCTTATTTATACATGTTTTATTATATTTTTTTAATTTTTTAATTATTTAATTATTTAATGTTGTTTGTTCGTATTGTCGTTCGCCCAGTTATACCTAATTCGGGCTTCCACATAGCGCCTTAATATATGTTGTAAAAGAAAATACCTTATACTCCCAGGAATATAGTTACAAAGCTTTCCCGTCCTGCAAAATTCTAACATTCCAATTAATATACTATAAAGCACAATAGATTTAGTTGACAAAATTAATGAATAAACGAATAACTAAATATATAAATGACGAAAGAAACACAAATAAGTTGACGCCTGGATTAAGCGTACTAACGATTTGATTATTCGACTAACGCTATTACCTTTTGTTAATTATTTATAACGAAAGAAAATTAATGAAAACAATTGTCTTGTACATTTGCTGGCATTATGATTCCATGCAATTGTCTGTATTTAATTTTTTATTTAAAAAAAGCTAACAAAGGTTGACATTAAAAATCATGTAAAAGGACTATGACGCTTAATTAGTAGCCGGGTCCAAGACACCGTCTTATAAGTACTTAATTTATTTTAACGTTAAGCTTTTAATTTGGTATTTTACCCTCTTTTGGCTTTAACGTTGCTTTTTTACATTCTTACAATTTGTAAAAAAAAGGAAATGTTGATTCGGCATTTTTTTCTTTTGTAATAAATAAAAAATGTCGAATTGACAGTTTTGTTGTTGATATTGTTTTACTTTTACTAATTTATATTATAAATATATTACCGTGAAAAACGGTAATATATTATTTGAGCAAAAAAATACATTGGAATAAATTGTAAAAGATAAATGAAAAAAAATTAATGACTTCTATTACAAGTGCTCACAGAGCTCAAGTTTGAAAGTCAAACGATTATTTTCATGTATGAGTTATTGTATAGATTAAATTATTTAATTTAATATTATTCTCCCTATTATATTATTCAGATTTGTATTTATGATTCATTGAGATAAAGCATGCCTGCACTAACTCCATAAAGTGAATCTTCCCTTTGTAAACAGGCCTGGCCTAGCGTACCAAAGTACCTTCCCTCAAAAATCCCTTCTTTAACACCATAACGTTAAAGGAACAAGCCTAATCACTCATCGCAAGTAACCCCCTTCATTAAGCAACAAACGATCCAAAGATTTGTATCGAGCGACGGCTCGCGGAAGCACGCGCAACGACTCGCGTACATACCAAATATACAGAGGCCTAGTCACTCCGTTGTTGAATAAAAACACAAGTGTTCGAGAGTCGAATAGATATGAATGAAGAAAGAGGAGAAAACACGCTAAGCGCGTCGTCGCGTCTTTTCTATCGTCTGTACACTTATTCTTATATGATATTTATTAATATATACTGTAAAAGATGAAAATCAAGCTATTTTTAGATTATCTGAGTATCTTTCTTCTTTCGATTCGTTTTCTACCAATTTTTCTACTATAAACTGTCGGCTGTAGCTAGTGTGTCTATTCCTTTCCAGACTTCCCACGACTTTGCGCCCGTACAGCGGAAGCCGAATGCCAAAAGGGCGATTTCGTTCGACACGTTCGACAGCCCAAATGACTTCAGACTGGCCTCGACCAAGCGTACGAAGGTGAGTTATGTGCGAAAATCCGCGCACGTCGCTTATCCGTTTATGGCCTTGCTAGTGTTTGATACATCCATTGTCACTTCAGTCAAAGTAATATCATCCACTTGTTGCTTACTTATTTAGTTATTAATTTACCTTTGTATTATTTTTACTGCTTAATATACTCTCAAACGTTGTATATAATTTGCAAATTCAGATGTGCCATAAAGAGAGCATCTACGTGGATTGCAAATCGAATGAGACTAACGTCGAGATCTTTTATATGCAGATTCAACTGGAAGTGCAGTGGACAGCTGTGGCTTGCGGTCGAACTCGGGATCAAGTTGAGATGACGCAGGCAGCTCGGCAGTTCCTCAGCCTGCATGGTTATGCACCGTTACGGCCCAGGTCCCTCAACTTTTGACCTAACTTGCCATCAGCTAATAGTGATTGAGCTGTCAATAGCAGCTGTGGTCCGATGATTATCCATTAGGCGCCCTGACTGATATTTATAAACTAATTTTACAAGCCTGCTCTTGTGATTATCAGTGCAAAAAAGTTTTTTTGATGAATATTTTTACATATGCGAAAAACGAAACATTCGAACTAAATTACAACGAAAACGTAATGTTATGATCAGCGAATATAATCATAAACATGAAAGTGCGAAAAAGTTCTATCGAAGGCACATCGTCACTTGCGCTTATGTATGAAACTGCACTCTCAACAATTTACTTTTTGTAAAATTTCATCAGTTCCCCAACCCCATTCATATTCCTATCCCTTTTCGTCCATTTTTTCTCTCAGTAGATATCTTTTTAACTTCTACAGGGAAGAAAAATTCTTTATCTATATATATTATATATATATGTACGCACTACGTGTGTCGTTTTTTTCATTTTCTCTAGCGAAAAAGATAAATAAAAAAAAATTATAGCCGGTTTATTTGATAGAATATTATATTTTAAAACATTATTACGGCTGTTATGTACAAAGAGCCTTTGTATTCATAATTTAATTTGCAACCAAACAATAAAGTGGCATTGATCATGCAATACTTATACAATCATTTTCTTCGTCCCATTTTTGTTTTTTTTTATCATTTTCATTTGTCATAATTGTTTCCTTCTTTTGATTTAGTACTTAAAAATGCTTAGAATGCTTGCTTTCAATCAATATTTTTTACTTTATAATATAAACATGTACAGCAGCAAACTTCCATATAATTATGTTGCCTGCTTATTGAAATATTATTTTATTAATATTTTATATTAATACAATAATTTTATATTAATATTACAAAATTCAAGAACTTTCACCATTAAAAAAAAAATATCTGAATATACATTAAAAGCAATAGCTAATTAAATTTAAGTATTAATATGGGCATTGCGTTACAATATATGTAATGTAACTATTATTATGTAAATATACATTGTTTTTATCACATTATTTGATTATATACATGCTAGTAGGGAGATAGTTTGTGGCAAAATATTTTAATAAAGTTCATAATACTAAGACTTATTTAACATTTTTCGTATAAAGAATAATGCAACGCAAACTTAAATTTTTAGTCTTTCGAATCGTGTAATCTGCTATATACAAAAAATAAACATAGACAATTATTTTTTAATTGCTATAATAAGCTATCCATCTTACATTGCAATATTTTTAAAGTAACGATTTATTAGATATTATCACCAACTTTTGTATCAAGATACTGGTAATCCAATATAAAAAAAAATTAAATGAAATATATATAACTATATTTTAACTATATTGATTAAAGATAACATTAATATTCTTAAAAGTATTACCGAAAATGTTATTTTCAAATGATCTAAAGTTTTATTCAACAATGTAAACATAATTAGACTACATTGCAGTAAAATTATTATTGCTTTAATATAACAAAAAATTCTTAAAAATTTTTATCTTATATGTAATTATTTATGACATTAAAAACACGTGTCTAATTTATTTGACTCAATGTGGACTCATACATTAAAGTAATATAATAAGGGTAGTAAATGTATTAAAACAGCGTGTAATAAGTGTAGTATTAAAAATTATATATAAGTATAATCTAATCAGTTTGTTATATTTGGATTTCATAATTAGCATATATAATATTAAAAACTTAAAGTAATAAAATTTTATTCCAAATTGAATTACGGTAAAATAATTTTTTCTATTCTTTAATAATTTATCTTTTAGAATGGTACACTGATACAGTTATTATTTATCAAATAAGCTATTTGTTATTAAACTCCCAATGTTATTTGTAATAATAAAAACACTTAAAAATGATATTCACTAATTTTATAAATTTATTACATCTTTTTTGACCTACTAAAGAAATATAATCATATCATATAATTTAATATATTATACATGTTATAAATTTTGTACAATACAGCCAGACAGGACAGAGAAGAAATTTATTAAAAAATATGCCATCTTTAGTTTTAAATTTATATACAAAATTGTGGGTTATGTACATGTTACTAAAACAATTTTTTCAATTATTTTAATAAATTGACTATAATTATTCACCGTACATTGAACAACATTATTTATACTTATTAAATAACTAAGCGATTTTGAAATGTTTATATGCAAAGTCAAGGAAGTCAATTTTCGCACATATTTTTATTAGAGTTAAAAATAAATAATGATTTCGGAAATAATAATAATCAAATCGACACACTATAATAATATTCAACTGCATTCGACTGCTATTCATGGAATTGCTAATATGAGTTATATTTTTTTAAATAGCTTACCCATGGAAGATATGATATTTATTTAGTTTATATATTTGTTTTCAAACAATATTTAAATAAATATTTTTAAATCTAATTGAACTTATTTATCTTCAATTTCATTGACTTGAAGTTTTAACATTTATACCAAACAATAAAAGAAGAATAAAAGTAGAGAAATGTTATATATATTATATAAAATTTTAATCATAGCTGGAAGTATCGGTTCAAATATCATGATACTTGAGGTGGTATAGGACAACTTATTTCTTCCAAATATACCTAAGGTCCTATTGATGAATTTTATAATACTTATAAGAAAATAGGAACAAGCATATTTGCATAGAACAAATTTGTTGTTGATACGTAAAGATAGATGTAATCCTTACTATTTAAATGTAGAATTTGGTTTTAACAACTCTTATAGCTTGTTATTCGGCAATACATTGATTCAGTAATAATTGCTTAAATGCTTGTTTTATTTCTTCTTAGTCAAGTATTCCATAGTTATTGATAATTTCATAATTAAATTGATTAGTCGAATTTTTTGTAGACCTAATATAACGTAATATAATATTTAAATCTACTACAATGATACCATAAGTTAAAATATATGTTTTTTAGAGAAAATATCTTATATTTAGTTATATCAATATAGTTTATTTTTTATTATTTATTTGTTTCCATCTATATTTCATACTTTGCGAACACAGACACACACACAAAACACAACTAACTAACTAATGATGGATTTATCTTTTAATATTTTTCTTTCTTGGATTTGATTTACACGCAAATATATATATTGAAATCATTCGATTCTTTCAAATACACTTCATTTGAGGTTTAAGTTGCTTACTAATTTAATGTAGCTTGATGAATTTATTAAAAAATACTTCGTAATAACCTCCAAAACCTGTGAAATTTTATATACTAAACAACCATATCCAGACGTGTTTTTAATTAAAATAAAATAAATTAAGATTACGGTGGCTAATGTATACGATTTACCAGTTGCGAGATATTTTGTAGATATTTTATCCGAAATTCCTGTTATTAAATTTTTCAAAATGCATAACTGTAAAGAGTTTTTAATAGTTTCTCCATTTTTATCTTCAAACAATTTTACTGAGCGTATTCACGTAACATGCTTTTCACGTACAAAATCATAATAAATATATTAACGTATTCTTTTATTGATTTTATTTACTCTATATCTTCATAAATATTTAACTTTCAAGAATAGTTACATTTCCTCTTATTTTATCGGATCTAATTGATAAAACATAAGTACTATAGTTCTTCGTTGAAATTTTTGTAATTACTTTCATGCAAATAAAAGAAAATCATTTGCATGGAAAGGTACGTATTAAAGAATGTATTTCTGGAATTCTATAATACAAGTTTTAGAGTTACATTTGCAAATTTATTTTTCTGATTTACGCTAAAATTATTGTATGACACAATTTATGATGTTTTTTTTTGTTTCTTTATACATATTTTTTATTTTTTTTAAATATTTAAATAGGCAATAGTTAAAGAGTTTGAAATAAATTTGTAAATTAAAAAATTTGAGGCCTAGATATAATGATAAATTCAATTTTAAACTTAATTGATAATTATATTAAATATTTAAATACTATTTTGTTGAAATTTAAACATGAGAAATAAGTAAACAATCAAATATTCTATAGTTAAACCTGATCCACATTAGAAGCGTCTAGTTATGTGACTCATTATTCTCGATGCAAGTCAAATAAACATTTATGTAATTAATATCAATATATATTTTATTTTTGAACACTTTATATTTATAATGACCACTAATAAAATTAATAAATTACATTTTCTAATCATAAAATTAACAGTTCTTGTTGAACTTACTGATTTTAAAGAAAAAAGTTTAGTAATTCTATACACTTTTCAATAACCACGAATTATTTTTTATGCATTTTATAATTTATTTAAAAATGGAGCCCAATTATATACATGTATATATGCATTATTTTGTTTATTTCGTTGAATATTCATAATTATTTATAATCTATTTGTTTTAACTATTCATCAATAGTATAAAATGAGTAAGTGGGTCATAAATTGAAAATGAATTATTACACTTTCATTTAAAAGTTATCGAATAATTTACTATATATATTTAATTACAATAAGACATCCGATTTCTGAAGGAAAATTACATTTTTAATAGTATACAGGCATTATTAAGCAAGCCTAATAAAGACATTTAATATATTGTTACAATACAAAATCACCACACAATTGCTATTCATGACATTGCCGAAAATGAAATCAGCTTATACTTTTATCTACTAGAAGACCTCTTGTATTATATGATTACCAAATATTTGAATAGTATTTTATTTTTTCTATTTGTTTATATACTAATTATACTAGAAAGACTTGTAATAATAATATTATGTTAATCATGTGGTGAACAATATCTGTACAATAAAAACATAAGTGATTAAATAAATTTATTAGCATGTATTATAACAATTATTATTCAAATTATATTGATCTTTCAGTTCCAATTGCATCTTCGATCTTCGACTTTTCTTTTTAAATAAAAACAATGTTGTTATTTATATAATAGGATCTAATATTAATTTACTCAATTAACGTAATTTACTTCATATAGATATGAATTTTACAGACTTATATCGCATATTGTATTAATAACAGTAAATTAAAAATAACATATATTTCTATGATTTTCTAATTTTAGATTATTATTAATCATTGATTCAAATACACTCAAACATAAATCAATATAGTTTATTACAATAGTTATAATATATTTCTCTAAATTAAATAATTTTTCTATTAACTTATATAATACTTTTAATAGCGAATTAGCTTTCAAGCAATAGTATTTAGTATGAATTTTGATTCTATCAATATTTCTTAAATTTCTAACCACAAAATTATTTTTATATTAAAATAGGTATAATTTAAAAATGTAACAATTACTATACTTAGCAATATGTTAATGCTAAAAACATAAAAAGACAATTTAATATACTAATTTTATGATAACAATATTTAATATTTACACTTTACAAATTTTGCTACAAATAATGAGTTTATCATACACAAAATTTGTTATATAATATACTAGAATAGGAGAATAGAATAGGAAATATAAAATAAACTGCAAGACTAAAATAATTTGAATAATAATTATTTTGAAACAATTAACATAAAAATAATGCGAAATTATTCTAGACAGATATTAGAAGTATAATATTCATTATGTATGAACAAATTCATACAGTATTATTAGTTTAATAACATTAATTTTAATCGTCAATGCAAAGATTCTTTTAGATTTAAAAGATTACATAATATTAATTTGTGAATATTAAACAGAATCAATAAGTAAAAAGATAAAATCAAAGAATAACTTTTAATATGTTGATTTGAATAATTATAGATTTTAGAGATAATCATGAATTAACTTTAGCCAATGTGTTGTTTATTAAAAATAATTATAAAAATATATAATCATATAAACTTAAAAAAATAATTTCAGATTATAATATTATTGTAAAATATTTTTGATTTTTTAAAAATTGTACTAAAATTTCAATATAATTAGTCTAGTTTAAAATCGAGGATACTCATTGCACGTTACAACTGTATTTTTTAAATTACATCATTTAAAAAATTGCATTTAAATAATTTTAAATTATTTAAATTCAAAAATAAAAATATGTGCTAAAGTGCATCGATAAATGTTAGCAAATGTTTAACTTAAAAAAAAATGTTCAAGCTATGAGATTTCGTTAAATTTACAAAATTTTATATTCTTTGTCAAAAAATAATTTTAATTTTTTAAAATAAAAGAAAATTGAATAAAAAAATTGCTCATGAATATATTCATCTAATTTATTGTATTGCAATTTTATTTCATTATATAAAAAATTTAATACAAAATCTCATATTTGAATTCTTTACCCATGAAGTTCATGAACACTATTTCTATACCTTAAGAATAGACATTGGTATTTATCCATATATGAGAATCAATGCTGTATCGGACGAGACAAATATTTATATGCAAAAGTACCGATTTACTTGCGTGAAAAAAATTGTCTAAGAATGATGCAGAAATAATGAACTGTTACAGTCGTTCAATGCTTTCTAATTTTTTGCTACTGAGCTTGTGATCCTTGAGATGGGTCTTCATTACTTGTCCTACTACCGCTAGCAGCAACATCCAGAGATTCTGGATCTATTTAATAGAAAATGCTCATGTTCAGTAATATTTAAATATATTTTTACAACTTGTTAGTATTGCATAACTGTCAATAGCATCAAAAGTTATTGATGCAATAGTCCACATATAGTGTATATTACATATAGTGATATATACTACATACTATACAAGTAGTGTATATTAGATATAGCGATATAATACTAAAATAAAATGTAATATATTTTTTTATTACCTGGGCAAGGGGATCCTTTAATTCGACATGTATTGTAACTACCACAGCTCAGACATTTCAATCCAACCACATGAAATTTTACAGTAGATTCCTGAAAAAAGTTTTCAAAACAATAATAATATATGTTTTATTGATTATGTAATTGTATTTATTATATATAATCATATTTTTATAAAATTGTGTTTTCAAATTTATATTTTGCATTGAAAAAACATTAAAAAAAATTTTTTTTTGAAAAATTTTAGAATATATTGATTTGATACTAGTTATGACAAATTATAGATAGTTAATTGAGAAATTTAAGTTAAATGTTTTAAATAAGCAAATTAGAAATAAATTTTTTTAATTAATAAGTATTTGCTAGATAAGTAAATTACAATAAATAATTTGATAAGAAAATTGAATAATATACCTCGTGACAATCTTTGCAAAGTATGTCAGCTTTATAATCCTTATATTCAGGTGGCATTGGCGTTAATGATACTTCACTATCTAAAAATCGCCAAAGATCAGTCATATCTAGAAGAGAAACTTGACAAGTTGGACAAGCATAATGACCCGAATGCAATAGATCTTCAAAGCAAGTGCGATGAAGTAAATGTCCACAGTTAGGAATGTGACAAGGAATACGACTGGTATGAATATCTTCTAAGCATACTGGACAATTGGCATGCGAAACATTTTCTACACACTGAAAAACAAAATATATATATTTTCTTTGCATCTTAAATTATAATATTGTAATATATGAATTGTATTTTGAAATAAAATATTTAAAAAAAAAATGTGATACTTTGTTCACAAACTTTTAAATCAAACTGTAGTTTAATGAATATATGTAATTAATATTTTAATGAATTATTTATTTATATATACAAATATATATTAAATAACTTTTGAAGGATTTTTTACCTAATATTATATAAAGAATTTATAATTATTTTAACGTTCAATTAATTTTAATAACAGAAAATCTTCCAACAAGTTTTTAAAAATAATTAGCTGATTATGAAAAAATTATATTTAGCGGTATATTATTTATTCAACCTTATGGCCATTTTGTAGCTCAACAGGTAGGCACATGTTACATTTAGCACAATGAAAAAATCTATCTCGTCCACCAAGTCTACATATTCCACATCCATCGCAGTGATATTGGTTCTTATCTTCATCATCAAATAGGTTACACTCCAGACAAGTGTATTTACCAAAACGGACATGACATTTCTGGCAGGTTGCCTGGACTGGCTGGCGAGTGTCGCACAGAACACATATTAATTCAGTTACTTCTTTTCTTTTTACAGTATGAGCCTCTTGTTCATCATGACAAAATCTACAGGTATAAACTTTGTTACAACATGGTGTCTGAAAGAATGAAACATGTTCATACATATAAATATAAATGCTTAAATATTAATAATAAATTCTCTACAAATTATTAAATTAAATGAATAAAAAAATTTATTCATTTAAAGTTTTTGTTTTATAATTATTTTAGTATCGATTAAGAAACTAAAAACTAATAATTTAAAAATGAAGAAAATATTTTAAAATAATTTGATTATATTTGTTTGAATGATGATAAATATACAATGGTTAAGAAGAACAGGATTTACAAGAAAATTTTTTTATTTTGATTTCTATTATTTTTATTAAAATATTCTCTTTTTTTTTAAAATATTAATATTTGTTCCTATATATTACTATATTTATGGATCGTTTTCAGGAAGACTTAATATGAAAAAATAATAAAAAATATTAAAAATTTCTGGTTTAATAAGATTATATAAAAGTGTTTAATATTAAATAATTGAATTTTATATTAGAGCGTTTTCAATAAAAAAAAAAATATATGTATAATAAGAATCACAACTTATTATCATTATGCAATAAAAACTATTTATAAATTAAGTATAAATGAAATTTATATTTTTCTTTTAAAAATGTTATATAAATTTTAATTAGACATCCATAATCTATTTAATTTTGATACAATATTAACAATATTTAAAAATATTATATATTTTCAGTTTCTCTGTACCAAAATATTTGAAATGATTTTCATTACCTAACTTTCAATTAATAAATAAATTATAAATTAAACTTTTATTACTATGAATTATATATAAATTGTTATAAATAAAATAATAACTTAAACTTAATAATATATAATAAATTTGTGTCAATATTTTATATCATTTATTAGTAAATCATAAATCATATAAGATTCTAAATCAATTTTTATTATTTAATCTGTTTCTAAAATATATGAAAAAGATATTGCACAAAGATTAAAGAAAATTAATTTACAATAAAATGTTTTCATAGTAACTATAATTAAAAAATTAGATTTAAAATTCTTGGTTTTATGGACACTATATGGTACATAGCAAAAATTTATACTTAATTTATAATTAATTTCTAAATGTAATATTTATCTAGAAAAAATAGAGGTTAGGTTCAAAAACCAATATTTTTACAAATAATTATTGCAAATTATTGCTAATTATATAGGACATATGGAAATGTTATAAAAAGAGGTATTGAAAATTTAAATAACAAGAAGTAAAAGTTGCTTAATGTCCGATTGATGTTCTTACCACAAATTTCGACTTCCTTTTATAATGTTCACAGCCATAATTGTCTTCGACGACCTCGTTCGATTTGTCCGTTTGCTCCAAACTATTACCATTACCTCCGCTACTATAGTCCCCCAGGTCTTTGTCTTTTTCCATTGAATATTTTACGTCGTTTCGACGAGCACGCTTCACGATATATTTTAGTCGTACTAGGTACGACAAACGGGTACGAGTCTTTCGGAAATATCCGAAATGTTCATCAGTTCGTTTGCAACTGGCTCACTGGCTTTTGATGGATTGCTTCAACTATTGATTTATTAGATAATTACGTCGATAGCGACGACGACGACGACGACGACGACGACGACGACGACGACGACGACGACGACGACGACAACGACGACGACGACGACCGATAACTTACAGAGAAAAAACAATTTTTACAATTGTATATATTCAAAATTATATCTTTTGACGTGAGAGAAACAATGGCTGAGAAGGAGGGTGGGAGGAAGGCAGGGAGGGAGAGAAAGAGAGACAGATGAAATTAAGGCCGGGAGGGAAAGATAGAAAAAGAGAGAGAAACGATAGAATTGAGGGAGCCAATGAGAGAGAGAGAGAGAGAGAGAGAGAGAGAGAGATTATAGGATGGAAAAAGAAGGTGAGATGGCGATTGATGATCAGAAAAGGAAAGACAGGAGAAGAGAAGAGAATTCAAGTTTTGCACGGCATTAAGTGCAAAGAAGTTTCGTAGAAAAAATCTTTGACTTGTGGTAGGTTAATCTACCTACGTTAGCCAATAATGGTCAAAACAAGGTTCCTTGACAACTCCACGATATGCATTTTCGTTTCTGCCACGTATCCTGTTAATTCTTACGGAAGCACTAATTATGAATATGGATCATAAATCCAAGTCCAATACTTTCAAGTTAGTACGTTCCAGAAGTCTAGTGTATTTAATTTCTTACTCTCTTCTTACATAATTCTTATATCTGTAGAACAAATTTTTAACACATTCTAAAGGCAACTAGAAAAATAACATTTTTTAAAGTAAAGCAATTTATTGCGCGCATGCGCGTACAGTATACGCCACAGCTCCGCAATTTTACACATTAGTAAGAATGTTAATTAAAAATGCAGTTTGCGCATTTCTCATCATATTAGAGATAACATTGAAATAAATCAAACGCGAAAAGGACTCTCTAGTACAATACTCGTATGTTTCAGTTATTTATGAGTACAATGTGGCTATAATAAAGTAGAAATAAAACGATACGACATCAATATACTCGGTACTCATCAGCAATCCTTTTATTTCCAACACCAGATGGCATGGACAGACACTAACGAGAGTTCCGGTCTTTTAAAGTTACACTAAAAGACAACTCTTCGATTTACTGATTAACTGTTATATTTGCCGGAAAGATCATTTATCAAAGCCTTTTTATACCTTTGTCGTTCGGTTTAGCTAGAAAGACTATTTTTTCTGATAGTAGTAGAGATATCGTTATTAGCACTCCATTATGTTAAGCATAGGTCTCAACTACATGCTATTGCGCGTACTGTATAAAAGAATAATATAGTAAATACATAAATATGGTATGAAAGTTCAGTGATAGCGTAGTGCACCGTGGCAGCGTAGTGATATCGAAATATAAATGAATGAAATTTGTAAATAAGAAAATAATTGATCAATCAAAGAAAACTTTAGTACGTTTGCTTGAAATACATTAAATTACCCTTTTAGGTAGAATTATTATTATTTTCGATTTGTTACATATTTTAGTATTCTTTTGATAATAATATTTAAATGCTTTTCTCGAGATATGCTATCCTATTTAAGTCCAATATTTGATTTTTCCATTCGGGGTGGTTCTACTTAAATATTCGTAGTAAAAATAGAAAAATCTAAGAAAAGAATATTTTTAATCAATCAAATTATTAATTTGGACATTCTGCACTTTCATTTATATTGTCCTGTAAAAAGTCTTACATTTATATTTTCAATTTCATAAAAAAAAACAAATACAGATAGTAAATTATTAAAATAAAATACAATAAAGTCTATATATTAATATTATTTTTAGCTCATGCATTTGGATTGATTTTTAAAAATAAATGACGGTCTTTCGTGTAAATATTTGTAAGTTTACAAATGAAATAAATATTTAAATAATCACCAATTGAATATTTGATACATTATATAAACTCTTGTATTAAAGTTAGTAAGCGTATAGTAAATAGTTTAATCATAAATAATATTTTGCGTAAAGAGATTTATAGCTCGTCGACTATTGAATATTCTTCTTAGTAACAAAGGTGTAATTGTATTCTCTGATGAATTATAATAATTATTTAATAATACACTGCTTAAATAATATGAAATTATGTAGAGAGTCTAATATTCTGAAAAAAGTTAGTGTCTGAAAATAATTAGTACTGTAGCATGTAAATATAAGGAAAATTGCTTTTAATTACTGTAATTTTCTTCATTATATTTTACTTATATATACTTTTACTTTATTTAAAATTTTTTTATAAAAATATGATTGTAAGATAATATATGTATATACATATTTATTTTACGAAATCGATTTTATCTGTTTATGTTTATAAACTAAAACATGGAAAATTAAGAAAAGTGTTTTTGATTAATATATTATTTTATAGTTTCTAATTAAATTGATAATTTTTTAACTTTGAAAAAAATTTTGTAATGATGTTGATGAGTAGCGAATGAACTCAATTGCAGTTTATTCAAACTTGAATTTTTATGTGAAAATCGTATGTTTGGTCAAGACTAGCTCTGACAAAATGCCGGTCAAAGGAAGAAAATCTTTCTTGTTTTCTATCTTCTTATAATAAAATTTAGAATAAATATTTATTATATTATTTATAATTCTATGAATTTAATTCAGTCATATAGGTCAATTTAATTTAATTTATACATTTCTTTTGTTTATTTCTAAATAGTAACGTAGTCTTCATTTAGATAAGATGAGACATTTTATCTTTTATGAGTACTTTTATTAGTTTATTAATATATTTAGTATTTATTGTTTTTGTAATTTTTTATAAATCATAACAATTTTATTAGAGTTTTGTATTAAATATAATTAGAAAATTAAAAAATTTTTATCTAAAAAGTAATGATTAAGTATTATTATAATCAATATTATAAAATCAATATTATAAAAATTCTTATACTATTAGAGAGAGATTAACAGTTATGTGAAATACGGAAATAAATTAATATTGTTAGGTGTGTGTGGTCGTCGAAAACAAAAATGATGCAAGGCAGTCTTTATTAATTTACACATCATAAATTGTCGAGAATAGCGGTAATCTTTATTATATAAGACAATTGCTAAGGTTAAAATTGGAGTAGACTCTAAAAGAGGCTGGGATAGGATTGGAAATTTTATTTTTCTATTTTGTAAAACAGCTTGGTATTTATATTATAATTATCTTAAGTCGTTGGTATAAAGAATGAGAGCGTAATTAAAATTTTTGATAAATCGTTGATATTTATTGTCAACTGTTTATTAAAAGTTGAACGAGATAAGCTATTGATCACAGGCTTTTGATTTTGAAAAATAACGAAAATATGATGATACTTATATAAATTATTAGAAATATAAATAATTTGCTCGTCTAAGCGCTAGCAAAAAGGAATAAAATCGAATTGTTATTATAAAAATAATGTTTATGTCGAGTTAACTGAGCTTCAATTGTTTACGGTTACATATAAGGAGTGGTATAACTAGACAAGAGAGAGAGAGAGAGAGAGAGAGAGAGAGAGAGAGAGAAAGAGAGAGAGAGAGGTGAGAAAGAGAATATGCAATGGTATTAGATGTACCGAGCGCCAATTCACTGAAGGCATTGAAAGCACAAAAGCGTGCGTGGAAGGGTTGCGGGAACTTGGGGAAGGGGTGACTGGATTCCGAGCTGGAACGAGTTCGAAAAATTCGAAAAGGGAGATACGACTGTGGATAGTAGCTACTTAATTACCCAATGAAGAATATATTCATTATAGAATAGCAGAGTTTTAAGTGCAGGATTTGACGATATCCAGAATCAGTCGTTGTATATATATATCAAGCGATTGCATCGATTGTCAAGCGCTTGTGATTCGATAGTGTGGTCTCGTTGACTATTCACTAATTAGTTTATGCAAGTGGGGGTCGCTACCAGTCTTTCGCGAATCTGCACTTCGCAGCGTTTTTACCATCTGTTGACTAATGTTAGATGGAGTAGACCAGCCTAAAGGAATTAGGAGAAGCTCGGTGAAAACGTTATTTTCGTCGTTGCAGAGCCGAAATCTATGCCGTTGTAATGTGTTGAGATGGTTTCGTGGTGCGTCACGTATGGCGTCGTGCGGAAATTACGCGATGGATACTTTACAACGCAGCTCGCTCCGCAATATCGCGGACTCTGCGTTCTAACAGTTAACATGATCAATGGCTCTCTTTCAGAAGAGGTACACGAATAAGGTGCTGCTAGACGACACCGAAACTCTTACCAGCGTCATTGAGAATGCCAGGACTGTCGATGCGCACACGGTATGCTCAGCATTCGCTTTTTCATTCGTCCCTTTCGGTGTCCCTGCCCTTTTATTTTCTGTATATCTTCGAATAGTGATCTACTTTGCACGCGTCTAATTTACACCTGTTTTCAATTAAATAATTTCGTTAATCTTACTTACTGCATGCGTTACTTGTCGATGTGGGATATCGAGACTGAGTGGGTTATAGTTATACGATTATCGAGTGTGCGGGTAAGATGCAGTCTTAAGGATGACTCGCGACTTTTTAGGAATACGTGATTAGGACTCAAAGAGGACCATTACCTGAGAAATCTTGGCGAGTTTGCAGACGTTACAATGATTTTATTCAGCTTCATTCTCTCTTATCTGTGTCTGGCCTTAACTTGCCCTTGCCACCTAAACGAATCATTGGTAATATGGAACCAGATTTTATAGCTCAAAGGCAAGCTTGTTTACAAGTGAGTTGATGTACATGTATGAATACTTTTTCTTTAATTAGTGTCTATTTCATAATTACTTTACTATTTCAGAATTACTTAAACTTGGTACTAATGAATCCGATTTTGGCATCGTCTTTGCCTATGAAAAAATTCTTAGATCCTGAGAATTATACAGCGCCTCTACATGGTAAATATATTATATGTATGCTTCTTACAATATGAGCAGATTTTTGTTTAATTCAAAGCTTTCTATGTTACTTTTTGTTTTCTGTAGAAATAGCATTACAGCAAGTATCGCTAGCTTTACGAAGCGATGCCAATTTTGAGGTTGGTAAAGCCATTCCTGATATGGGATGGCGGTTAAGGAAACATTATTATACAGTCAAGAATAGGCAAAATCCTAAACAAGAATTACTTCTTGCTTGGGTTGAATTTGGGCCTGACAAACATTTACAATATAAAGATATGCAAGGAGTTTTTAAAAGTCTGGGGAATCTAAAGCATAGTTATATAGAACCTATAGTGCATCAATATGTAACTGAAAATGGTGCTTTGACAATTCGTAATTTTCATTCCAATGGCACCTTACGAGATATTTTGTGTAATACTAAGCCCAAGCAGCCTTTTATAAAAAAATATGGCAATCCTAAACAGACAAAATCATTAACTGTAACTGAAATAGCTAACTATTCATATCAGGTATGCAAATTAATAAATAGTTTATACTTTATTCATATTCAAGTTTTATATAAGATTGATTTTTAATGCAATATTTAAAATTTTAGATTTTAGAAGCATTAAATTTTCTTCATGATAAAAGTTTACCATATGGGCATTTACACACTGGAAATGTTTTACTAACAAGTGCTGGAGCAAAATTATTAGATATAGAGAATGGTCTTTTAGGTTTACCAGCATTTTATCGACCATATGTAGTTCAGAGGCGAAAACTACATGCAACGGTAAATATCACTTTCAATGTTTTACAATGTTACAATTTAATAATTATTACTATGTGTAGTTATTTCTATAAAAAATGTACTAAAAGATGTGACTTTTAAAAATTATTTTTAAAAATATAAGAATAACATTTATTTCAATAAATTATAAAGAAATTTTAAAGAAGATTGTAATTATTTTTGGCTTTTCTCCGTATTTTCATTTGAATGTATAAAAGATGGATAATATGAATACAATATAAATGCAAATAGAATGGATAAAAGATGGGTTAAAATAACAGGTGGATAAAGGAGCAGATTTTATTGCAATTTAATAGATTATATCTTACAAAATAATGTTATTTATTGTTTATTTGGGTAATATTGTTTTTCTAGATTTACAGTAGGTCCAGTTAATTTACATTTTAAAGAAATTTATTTATTTGATATTTGAACAAAGTTATATACAAATATACAGCATATTTTATATTCTCACTAGATGTTAATTTTTAATTTTCATAATACATTAGTTATACAATTGAATTAAATTTTGTTTTCAATTTCAGTAATATCTAAAAGATTGTATATCGATACATTAATATTATGATTACAGATGCAAGTGGATGTTTATGCTTTTGGGCATGTTCTTTACGAAATGGCCTTTGGAAGACCTCTATTAGAAGCCACAATTGGAAGTTCTGATCTACCCCACTGTGATTCAAAATTAAAAAATCTTTTGGAACTTATTTTATCTCATGAGGCCTTGAAGCAAGATCTTCCAATGATTGCTCAATTAATGGAGCATCCCTTTTTTGAAGTAATACAACGGAACATTAATTCCAATGCTGGTATGGTTGATAAACCGCATTTTAAGCTTAGTAGTCACTTGAAGGATGCTCTTTTAGAGGCTACTAATAAGGCCGAGTCAAGACTGAGAGATGAGCAGAAAGTAGCTAGACATCAAAAAAGACTTGTGAAAGTGCAAGAAATGATGAGTTCTGAGGAGGAAATGAAAAAACGAAAGCATAAGTTGGTAGGTTTTATAATCATTCATATTCAATGTATAACAAATTTAAAAATTTGTTATTAACTTTGAATTATTAATCTGAATTTTATATACAAATAAATAACAATTTATGTAATTATATATTAATAAATAAATCAAAATGTTTTGTTCAAAAAACTTTTGTAGTAAAAAGATTTGATAAAATGTAAAAGGAGGGTATTTATAATTATTGTTATTTTTAATTTGTTTTTATAGAAAAAAGAACAAAAGTTAGCACAAGAGCGTTCAGCAAGTCAGATGGGAAATAATGGAACAAAACAAAACAATGGTAAAAGTCCAGAAAGATCTGACAGTCCAACTAGCACATCAACAGCTACCAGTGTTGGTACTCTTACACCTCCTTCTCATGGTAATTTTACATTTTAAATTACAACTATTATGACAATAATATTCATTATTTATTATTTTTTATATAAAAAGTTGGATACAAAAGTTGATGGCATAGGCTGCGATCCATGGTATTGCGTAGGTCATTTGACAGGTCTCTAAATAACGTCAATTTATATTATATGTTATTAGTAAATTTTGTAGTACGCATATTAAGTTTTGTTCATTATCATCAAAGCATATATTTTATATTTTTGATTATAGTTTTGTATATATAATGATGTGGAGGTGTTAAAAAGAGGTAATCACTGAAAAACATAAACAATTAAAGAAGTTTAAATTTTCAATTTAATTATTTATTTTATGTATATATATTATTTCTTTTTAAACTTTGTTAAAACATTTTCTTTTCTTTTATTAATTAGTAGTACAGTTTTTATTTATTTTTTCTATTTTATTCTTATTTTTATAATTGATATAACTATTTTTTGTGATTATAAAATAATATAAATATTTTATATTATAAACATTTTCTTCTATGTAACTTTTATCTTATACACAAAATTTTTCTAATTCACTGAATTAGCATAGTTTTATTTATTTAATTATTTCATCTTTCAAAGTAGAAATTAAATTGATAATATTTTATATATAGATCTAATAATTTTCTAACAAGTTTGTTGGAATTAAATTTATTCAATCAATGTTTTTCTTTTTGCTAAAAACAAGTGTATTTATAAAATTCACTGGTTCATTAATTTTAAATATATTATTTATTAGAATATAGAAGCATGAGTATATTTATCTTTTCAATGAACCATAATTGTTATTTAAAGCATAAGCTTTATCTATTTGTTTTAGTAAATATTTTGTTTAGAAAAGAAAAAAAATGTAAATAATTTACTCATTGATTAAAAAAGTAATTTATATTTAGGGGTATGATAATCGGTACTTAATTAATTGAAGCCATTTAATTTTTTATTCTTAAAACCTTAATTTACTTTACAGTAAAATTGTTTTTCTTTTTATAAATATGCTCATTTAATAATCACATATCTTATCTCAATTTTATTTAAATTTAGTGTATTATATTTATTTTTTACTTTTTTGAAAATATTGTCACAATAGTTTAAGATCTCCATTTGTAAGTTGTAGTTATTGCTTTTATAAACATTATCATTTAAAAATGTATTTTTACTTAAAATAGCATGTATATCATTTTTATTCATAACGTTTTCAGGTTTAAATGTATTGATTATATTAAATGTAATAAAATTTTTATTGGTCAAAGTAATAGCATATTGTGGTTTATATATTTTTTGGTATTAGTTAGTATAAGTTTTTGCACGTTTAATTATTAATTATATTGACGCAAAATTATTATTAAATGAATCTTTAATTGTTTACAATTTTAAGGTTTTGAAGTACAATCAAATTGTTCCAAAGAATTGAAAAAGGACTTATGCCCTCCACCACCTCCGATGCCAGTAACTTCAAATACAAATGCACTAAAAACACATTTAACAAAGGAACGTGCAGCGTTGTTAGGAAGCATTTGTGCATTTAAAAAAACGAATCTTCATAAAGTCACCAATGGCATCCATTGACATTATTTCTTCGTTAAGACGATAATTTGCATATAGTGTAGTTAACATTCGACCTTTAGGTTTCACCTTTAGCTTTAAGTCATATTAGTACTTGTCTTTCAAATGTATAAAATTTTCCATTTAACATATTTTACATTCTGCGATTATAATCACATTAATTGTATAAATTTAACATTAGAATATTGTTGTTAGAATTTTTGTACGAGTGAATTTTGAATTGACATTTTCTTAAAAGAAATATTAATTAAAATTCATCGCCGTGCTGTGATTTCCAGTTGAACCTTACATTTTCTGAAAGTAGTGTTTAGATTTGAATATCGACTCTGAGCGTAGATAAGTATTTATAGAAAAGTATACAATTAATACGTTTTCGATTAGTCTCATATATTATACAAAGTTACTTACATAAACTTTGTCAGCAATTTTAAATATATCGTTATTTTGGATTGTTCTTGTAGAATTATAAGGAAAAGCTCGTTAATTAATGTAATAATATCAAGTTTATTCCATTATCTTTTATCCTTTGATGTTAAAAGAGATTAAATAAAACAATAGATTTGAAAGTGGTTTATTAAAAAAAAAGCTTTCTTTGTTATAATTATTGAATATATTCGTGTTATGTTAAGTCGAATGTTTTAAAAATATAAAATCGTATCCAAGCACAAACAGAAAAGAAAAATTAACTGTTTTGTACATACATATGAAATAGTCTGCATAGAAATTTTTATCTTCATGAATTATTGTAATAAACATTTATGTTAGTATATAATTTGTATTAATTATATAATTGTCTGTTATTAATAAGAAATTGGAGTGTAAGTTTAAGGCGGTCGGGAGTGTGTGTAACATCTGCAAATAATTACAAATATACAAGCAAATTGTAAAAATTCGTATAAATATGAATATTGTAAGTAATTATATAATAAAATATCCAATATAATTAATGTGTGTAAAAAAATCAAAATGTTACCTATATAATTATAGGAATCTTCCAAGTATAAAATAAAACCTGAGATTTATTAATTTATTATAATTATATATTAATACTATTGTAAATGTTTAACGAACATTTTTAAGTTTATAATTACTCACTTGAAAATTAATAATCAATTTCGATTATTGTGATATCAGTGGTTATAAATAAAAAGATTTATATTAAAATTCTTTGTATTATTACATTTGATATTTACCTCTATCCCTAAAAAAAAATTAATTAAAAATCGAATTTATTTTTATATTTTTAAAAGTTAAATTCAATTATTTTAAATTACCGAAACATATATGGAATATATATCTATTTTAAATGCAATTATAACTTCATTAAAAAATACATAAAAACAAATGTTTATTTACTTAATACAAACTTATGTTTGCTTTATTAAAATAAAATATCTTTGATTATAGTACAATCGTTTTTATAATGAAATGATACCAAAAATAAATATAATTTTTTAATATTTTAATATTAATAATGTAAAGAAAAATAAATATACATTAGTAAGATAAACATTTTAATATCAGTGATATTTTATAATAAATATATAGTATAAATTTATTAGTTGTATTATGTACAGTTAGAAAATGTATAGAATTAACATTTGTCTTTTTAACTAAATAGTCAAGTATCCTTTTTTTGCAACAGACATTTGAAATGTTTACAAAATTAAAATCTTCTGTTGCTTTTTATTTTTCATATCAAATATAATTGATCTTTACTTAAAAGTATGTACATACTCTGCACCAATATATTGTCGAAGATATAATAATTATAATGTAGACCACATATAAGTACAGGAAATTAAGATAAAACCAAATCATTGCTATATACAGAGGAACTGACTGGCAGTTCTTAGTACAATAAAATTTGTACATTTTTCCTGTACATCTGTACATTAAAAAGGCATTTTTGTATAAAAATATCTGAAGTAATTTAATTATAAATTTCATCTTTATGTAAATGTAAAGTGTTTAAATTCTATTAGCTTTACTCTTTTTACTCAACAAAATAGTACTAGTATTTACGTGGTATATTTTGCCCCGATTATTTTTGGTTAAAGCTGATAGTTTCAGCTAATAATTTAATGTCAAAGTTGTGTATGAAGTTTTTCTGTAGCTGCTTTTAGTCTGTAAACAATAAAAAATATTAATAAAATAATATCATTTATGCAAATAAGTTTATATATCCTGATTACTTAAGTAGTTCGTTTTGAATACGATCTGTAATAGCCTTTCGAGCTTCTACTTCGTCAGCATTTGATTTTCTTAATCCTATTAACATTTCACTAAAGTCTATTGGTTCCCCATAATATAGGGTTATTTTTTTCTTTATCTTAATCATATAAGGAGTTTTATTTGGAAGAACTTGATCCATACCTAGATGAATAATTGGTACAACTAATGGCACTACTGGTGATTCAAAGATTAACCTTCCAATACCCCATTTTAATCTGACGAATTAATGGAACTCTATGATTATGTTTAAAAATCAATATTAATAAAATATAAATCTGTTGTCTAATGTACCTCATATTTTCTTTAAACATATTAACTTTGCCTTCAGGAAATATATGAATCCAATCTCCTTTTCCTAATTTCTCTATACAAAAATCTATAGCTTCTTGATAAATTCCATTACCTCTAATTACAGGTATACATTTTCCAAGCATAAAAAAATAAGAATGCCACATATTTGTAAAACAAATATCATGAGCTGCTAGTGACCATCTCATTTTACGCCGATTTAGCAGGTTCTTCAAATTCAATGTACCTAAATTGAATTTGATAATGTGAGTATTGTAGTTAGTTTGAATTACATCATTAAATATAATAATTGCTATATATAAACATACTCCAAATACCAGGATCATCAAAACAACTGTGATGATTTGATACCGTTATTAAAGGGACTTCTTTTGGTCGTGAATTTAATGCCCTTTCAATGATATGTTTATTATATACTGTAGTTTTGTTTAACCATTCTGGAAAAAATAAAAATAAAATAAATAATTTTTTAATTTTTTGCAAGCAATTTCAAAATTATTTTGAAATGGTAAGTACTTGTAAAGTTTAGTTGACATAGCTTATAGAGAAAGTTGAATTTGAATTACCACGTTCTTAATTTTGTTTGGAAATGTAGAGAAACAGTCAGAAAGAAAAGATAGAAATGATCAAGGGATGGAGGAAGAAAGAGTTATGATGATAAAATTATGTTGATAGGTATTAGCTAAGGAGCAAAAAAGATAGATAAAGATAGAAAAGTAGATCGAGATAGGGCGAGAGAGAGAGATACTTAATGATAATAGAAAATTAAATTAACGAGTTAAGAAGATGTCACAGAGGTGTTATGAGAAATTGAAAAAATATACAATAAAGTGTTTCCAATCTTACCCATGATGATTTTAGAGACTATACCGACTGCTGCGAAGGTTATGCTGCTAGCAAAGTTCCAAAGGTTTGTAGAGTTTCTAAGTTTCGGTATGATCCACTTGATGTCGTAGCCCATAGCGAGATCGTGCTGGTGAGGAATGTACCGGCTCTTGTAGTAGCTCCTTTCGTTTTCAAAATAGTATGGGTCGATGTCGGTAAATAGAATGAGGGTGAAAGTTACAAGGTCGGTTCTAATTCGACTACTGTCATCGACCTTTTAGAAAATAAAAAACTAAACTGTTGCTCGTCATCCACGAAAAATCGTCTGCTTTCATGTTATGACGAGCCCGGGAGAGGCAACCACGTTTCTGTAATAAACTACACCACTCTCTGAAATGTTTCAAATATACGCGAGGCTTTTCTACTGTTTAGAAAGCACGCTTTTTCCTCTCTTTTTATTCGCTCACTCGTAGTCGGCTTGATGTTGTAATACCGTACATAGCATTCAGGTATGAGTTAATATTTAATTTACGACCAAGTTAATTATAGATGGCGCTTGCGTCTAAATTTTTAATTTGATGATTGTTATGAAGTCTTTATTCCTACTAAAAAATTAATTAAGTAAATTAATGAAATTTGTATGATTTAATAATAAATGTATATATTCATTAGAAAAGAAATTCAAAAAGTTAAGAACCATTTCAATTTTCAATTATGTAATGACAAAAAGTATACAAATTAATGTCAATGAAGTTTGAATCATCAATATTTTTAACGTGCAATTAATTATTTTTAGGAAAACAGCTTTTATTTATATGAAGTTGTTAAAATTAATGAAAGACAAAAAAGTGAAATTAACAAAGTTAATTTTAAAATTAAAATTCAAAAGTTTATGGAATAACGTAATGCAAATAAAAAAAATAGAAATAAAAAGTATTTTTTTATAAAGTATATTAAATTTTGTAAGTAAAATATAATAAATTTTTAATAGAATCTTAGTCAAAGAATGCCACAATTAAATGTTTATAATATTAACTTTTTAACTTTAACTTATCAAATGAACATTCAGAAAAAAAACTAACTAGTAGTTAATTTTGTCTCGTATGAAGAATTGTATTTTTTAATGTAAAATTATAAGAATACAATTATTCTTTAAAAAGTTAAATAAATAATGCAATATTTAAATTAGATAAAAATGTTCGAAAATCTATTACATTTTTTATAAATTGGAAACCAGTTAAATAAGGATATTTAAAAATGATTTTTTATAAATAATAAAAAGTATGTATGTAGGTATGTATATATATACCTAGTAAGAAAACATCTAAATTTATGAATATTAGAATTTATGTTAATTCTGTTTAAATGGAAGCCTTTAATATTAAATACTAATTAAATAAAAATCTTATTTTAAATAATCAAACATTATAGAAAATAATTCATTTGCATATAAAATATGTATGTGTATATATATATATATATATATATATATATATATATAAGTTTAAATTTGATATAATTATAAATATTACTAATTAAAACACAATTATTTATTTTAATTTTTAATATAAGTTTGTTTTGATATACAAATAAATTATTTTTTATAACGTTTAATTATTTAAAATAAAATGATCAATTGATAAAACATAAAATTATTAGTTCAAAAATATTTATTTCTTGATATATATGAAATCTTATTAAAGATATTCGTAATAAAAAATAAATATTAATATTACAAATTAAAATTAATTTTCTATTCTATAAATAACTAAAGTTCATTATATTTATATTTATAAAATGAAAATATAAAATTTAAATTTATAAATATAAATAGAAATAAGAGACAAATTGTTTTTATTTATTTGCTCATAACTTTAATCAATTTTAATTTTAGAAAAATTCATTTAAGTCATATACTTACTTAGGTAATCTATGAAGTAGTTTTAATATGGAGTAATTTTATTTATTAAATCAATAATCTAATCAGTACTTTATGTAAAAGTGATGTTACAATGCTTAAAATAAGACAGAATTTGTAAGAATTTGGTCTGATAAATAATCTCATAATGTCCGCTTTCTTGTTATTTTTTTTTCAAATCAGTTGATTTTAATAAATAGTTAAATTCTTGGTGTATTCAGAAAACATTTTTTATTCAACAATATAACTTTATCTCTTTAAATTTAAATAAATTATGTTGATATAACCCCAATTTTCACATTAAAAAATGAATAAGTATTTAATATTTATTAACAGATATAATTCAGTTTTCTGATATTAAAATTATGCTAATAGTATATTTAATTTAAATGGAGCTTTTTATGGAGCATGGCTATATGGAGTTTATATAAGATATTGATTTCATTTAAAATTTATTATTCTGTTATTGTTAATATTCAAACTTAATGTTAATTCAAACCTATGTTATCTATGTTATCTATTTGTGTTATTTTATATTATAAGTAAAATCAGCCTATTAAAATAATAATAAATTTGCATTTAAAAACCAATGATCTTTAAATGTATTTATGTAAGCTATTGTATTCATAATATTTTGAAAAAATGGAAAACACATATTAATGACTGTTAATTTATAAATTTTTAGAATTTATCAAAGTTGATGTTGACTTAAATGGCGATTAAAATATTTGATTTTAAATTATTAAAAAAATATAGTTACCGTTAAATTTTTAATGTTATTAAATTTGGAAAATTAAATATTAACAAGAATTAAACAGTTATTATTCATTTGTATAATCAAATAAACAATATTTGATACACTATGAATACAAATATTAGTAAAAACTAATAATATATGAATTTATTTGAAAATCATAAATATATCTTATAATAATTTGCAAGTAACTGTATACTCATTTTAAATTAATCGTCTATTTCGTTATTTACAAAACACGTTGGAATGTTTTCTGTTTTATAACACAATATATATTTATCATGTGTTTAATGAACTTATGAAGAATGAAGTTTTTGAAATACTACATATTTAATAGAATAAGTATATATAATAGTAAGATTAATCGTTTGTAATAAGAAACAATGAAATCGAGTTGAACAATAGTTAAATTATGAGAAACAAAAATGATTGGTATATGACTATATGTATTGTTAGTTGCTAGATCATTGTAAGTAAAATCATTCTCAACTAAATGAGCGTAATTTGTGTTTAAACGATAGTATTTATATTTAACGATTATTTACATGATTGTAATTAATTTACATAATTGTAATTAATAATGATATTTAAAAATAACATATTCTATGTAGTTGTTGTTAGGCTTATCATCTTTTTTTTCATACTCTTAAAATAAAAGTTATTCAATTTATTCGAATACAATTCGATTAAAATAAATATTTTGTTCAATTCAAATTTACTCTGTTTTAGAAGAAAATAAATAGTAATGTAGAGGAGTAAAAAATATAGAAGAAAGTTAGTTACCTATGGAGTACTATTATGCACGTAGATATATTAAAATTTTTACTCGAAAGCAATTTGCAATGTGTAATTTATGTGTCTTTCTGTATTTGTTTATTTGAATTATTTTATAAAAAGTATACGGATGATGTTGATAGTTGAACGTTCGTAACGCGAATTCGGTGTTGTAACATATTATGTGAGGTGGCGTTGGCTATCGTTGCCACTCGCTTGTCTTTCTCTATACACGCGCCGCGGTTTTCGTTATGCGCATGCGTGAAATTACGTCAGATATTTTCACTTATGTGACGTCATCCAATAAAATTGCATGAAATCAAAGCTATAGGAACAGCCGTATATTTAAAGCTTTTGGATGAGAGCAGCTTAATTTTATTTCAGAAAATTTAAAAAAATATAGATTCCATTAACGAGTTTACAGAATATATGTATTGTTATGTATTTTTATGATATATGTAATAAAGTTATAATTATTTTTTAATTTTATAACTTTTCACTGAATTCTACTTTGATACACAAATTCACATGCACACGAACGCGCCCACACGCATGCAGCATGCACACAACACGCTCGCGCAAAAGGAACATACGTATAGGTTGTTGTGTGTGCAAGCATATAATATCGCATCTATTTATTCATGTAAAGAAGAGTTCATTTTATGAATATAAATTAAATTTATTTTATTTAAATACAATACTGAATTTGATTAGCTCGTAACTTTTGTAGATATTTACAATTGTTTTTACTACCATTTTTTTTTCATGAACTTACAAATCAATTTATGTAATGAATTTATAAATATTTAAAAAATTATTTAATTTTTCATGTATATATATATATATATATTATTTTATTGTATAATTTTTCTTATGCTTTTACTTGATACATTATTACATACAATATTTATTATATTTATATACTTACATAGTTTTACTGATGAGCTCTGAAATTAAGACTAGAAAAATAATTGTTTCCCTAATAATGAATTTGTTTTATAATTAAATTTAATTAAGCGATAGTTTTATAATTATTTATTTTATACGTAATATTGTAAGATAAGTTAATAAAGAAGATGTTACCGTTCATAACTTCTTTATATAAATAGGTTGCAATGAAAACGGTGTTTTCCGAATATGACTTGGCTATTGTTGAAAAAGCATATTTATAAATATTAAAATAGCTGTTGGATAAAAAAGTTATTAATATTAAAATAAGTTAAATAATAGATAATACTGAACAAATTTTTAATGGAAATTAATTTTCAGCCTGTTAATTTCTAATCTATTTATATCGAAGGTAAAAATTAATTCATCAACGATATAAAATTCAGATTTTTTCATTTTTTATAATAGTCTATTTCTGTTTAGTTATATCTTATATTTATGCATACTTTTATGTTATTTTGTTTCGAACATTTTATTTAAAATATTGTTATTTGCCAATAAAATAAACAATAAAATCAGCTTTGATTTTTTTTGTAGCTTTTCATGTTATTACATTGCTTATTTATTATTTTATTTATTTAGTTATATGTTTGAAGAAGTTTATATTTTAATTATTTAAGCAATTTTTCGTTTTTTAATTGCATATTTATATTTCGTTTGTATATCATGTTTATTAAATTTTATTATTATTCGGGTAAGTTGATTTCACTATTTTATAAGAAGGCTATTTCTAGTATTTCATACATAGTTTTCTATTGTAACAATTAATTTAAATACAAAGTTAAATTAAAAATACATGTATTTTTCTGTCAATAAATGCCTATTGCCTATTTTAATGAAAAAATAAAGAGAAAATATTTTAATAATCATATAGTTCTTATATACATTGTTCAAATTGTTAAATATTTTGAATAATAGTACAAGTCCCATACAGGTTTTTTTCATCAAAGTTTGGTATAGTGGAAATAATATATAGACTATAATAATGAAATACGGGATATAAAAAAATACGCTATTTATGATTATATATGTTGATACATTTCAGTGGCTTTGTAGCCATTACGAAAATAATTTGAAAAGTAAAATTCAGTTGTAA